TGAGAGCAGACTGGCCAACATAGTGAAACCCCATCTCTACTAAAAATACAAAAAATTGGCCGGGTGTGGTGATGTGTGCCCATAGTCCCAGCTTCCCAGGAAGCTGAGGCATAAGAATGGCTTGAACCAAGGAGGCAGAGGTTGCAGTGAACTGAGATCACACTACTGCATTCCAGCCTGAGCAAAAAAGCAAGACTCTGTCTCAAAAAAAGAGAAAGGATTTTTTTTTTTTTTTTTAGACAGGATCTCCCTCTGTCACCCAGACTGGAATGCAGTGGCAGAATCGTGGCTCACTGCAGCCTCAACCTCCTGGTTTCAAGTGATCATCCCGCCTCAGTCTCTGAAGTAGCTAGGACCACACCCAGCTAATTAAAAAAATTTTCTTAGTGACACATTGTGTTGCCCAGGCTGGTCTTGAACTCCTGGTCTCAAGCAATCCTTCCACCTTGACCTCAAAGTGCTAGGATTACAGGCAGGAGCCACTGCTTCTGGCCAATATTTGCATTTTATTTTATTTTATTATTTTATTGAGACAGGGTCTCTGTCACCTAGGCTGGAGTGCAGTGGCACAACCTTGGCTCACTGCAAGCTCCACCTCCTGGGTTCAAGTGATTCTTGTGCCTCAGCCTCCTGAGTAGCTGGGATTACAGGCTCCTGCCATCACGCCTGGCTAATTTTTATATTTTTAGTAGAAACGGGATTTCACCATGTTGGCCAGGCTGGTCTCGGACTCCTGACCTCAACTGATCCACCCACCTCAGCCTCCCACAGTGTTGGTATTACAGGTGTGAGCCACCACGCCTGACCGATACTTGCTTTTTTAAACAGTGTGTCTGTTTAATAATATACTTAGCACAGTTGGGGTTATGTGATGAAAAAGAGGAGTAAGGCAAGAAGTTATTTAAGCAGCACTTTGGCATGTTTTCTTATAAAAGTGTAGGTTTTATAAGTGCCACAGTGTAGGTTTATGAAGCCCTACTTAAAATTGTATCACATATAAGTACTTGTCTCTTCCATTTTGTCAGCTTTCTCCTCTGTGAGACTCTTGCCATGAACTCCATGCCCTACTTCCTTGTGGGTTCCCATCATGATGGGAAATACAGGCCACTGAACCAAGTTAGCAGCATTATCAAATCATGTCCACCCCGAGTCCTTCTGATGGAGTGGGGGCAGCAGGTGGAGTGTAATGTTCCATGTTTGTTTAACATCTGTCAGGCGCTGCATCAAATGCAAATGTTGTTGAACTCCATCTTTCCCACGAGACTGTTGGCCACTGAGGGTAGTGAGCACGTCTGCCTTACTCCCCACCCGGTCATCGCCACGTCACCAAGGTCAACTCAGTTCATCTTCATCAAGTAAATTGAGTCCTTACATCAAACAACCCTTCCACACAGACATTTTTAATCCTCAATTCACAGATAAAACTGAGGCAGGAGTTGCTTGAGGATGTTGTCCAAGGCAAGAGAGTGTGTCGGTCTTTGAGTCTGGGTACTACATGCTCTCTCTGCTCCCTGAGCTTCCGCTCTCTTCTGCGCAGCGTGCTGCTAAGAATGTCCTCTCAGAAGCTACGGATTCTGTTGTTTTTAAATCATTTTCTAAAAGTTTGCATCTGTCTGTGTTTGCCAACAAGCTCTAGTCAAGTATTATTGGTCATATACCCAGAAGTGGGTCTTCTGAGTATATGACTAATAACATTGGTCCTCTTGGTCCTATTCTGAGGTTCTATTTATGAACCAGTCCTAAATTCTTGGAAGGTCTGAAATGAAGTCAAAGGTCAAATATGTATTCACCAGCGTTTATTAAATACCATTGTGTGACAGACCCTGGGCTAGGGGCCTGAGGTACAGAGGTGAATGACAGACAAATAGTCCCTGTCTTTAAAGAGCTTACCGCCTAGTGGGTCTGACTGTGCCATTTTCCTTCAAAAATAATTATTAAGGGGTGAAGGGGAGGAAGGCATCAAAACATACTGCCATGTGCGTACCTATGCAACTATCTTGCATGTTCTGTACATGTACCCCAAAACCTAAAATGCAATAAAAAAAAAAAAAAAATATATATATATATATATATATAATTATTAAGAAAGTGAAACATGCTGACTGCAGAATATTTGGGAAGCCCACATAAGAAAAGAAAGGAAAAAACAGTCACCCCCAAATTAAGATGTTTTATAAATCCCAAGGGTAGAGCCTGTGTCTTAGTATTTCTCTATCCACAGAACTGTACACAGATCTTAGAGCAGAAGACAAGTTCTGTTAATGTTTTTTGAATGGAGAGGAAGCCACCCTTAATCCTACCACCCTGAGGTAACCACCATTAACATTTAGAAAATATTATTCTTTTCTTTGATGGTCAAATGACTAACTGGGATGCTATTCTCTCTGCCTCATCTAAACCAGAAAGAGAAATCTTTGGCCTCTTTAGCGTCCCCTACAGGTGGTGCAGTGCTCCTCATAGTTGATTTAATAGCTCAAGGGGAGCAACCCTTCCCATCCTTCCCTCATGCCATGCTTTGAAAATCTTTTCACACAGAGGACTCTTTTAAGTGTAGCTCCTACCAGATGTTCTCATCCACTCCCCTACCTCACCCCAGAAAAGCCTCTGAGGCAGGAAGTTGGTTTATTCAAGATCAGTTCCCTGGGATAGAGGGGGGCTTTCATCAGGTTCATTATTAACAAGGCTGCATGTTGACTCACTTTAGAGAGTTAAAATCCCAATGCCCGGGCCCCACTTCACACCATTTAAAAAAGAAACTCTAGGCATGAGGCCCAGGTTTTGGCCTCTTGTATTTTTAAGGCTGCCCAGGTCAGGTGTTGAGAACCACTGATTTAAAGACAGGCTAAGGAGAGGTGTAAGTGGTCTTTCGAGACTAGCAGAGGGCATTGCAGTGGCCCGAGTTGGGACACTTAGCCCAGAACTTGGCATCACAAGGGTTTTCTGCAGCCCACTTTGTGCAAAACTTGGGTGGTATAAGTGGGCACTTGATTTGCAAAGGGGAAACAAAGAAGGAAACCACATCTTTCTTCCAAAGGGCTTATACGGATTCCTCTATAAGGGAAGAACACACAGAAACCATGCATGTTCAAAGTGATATGCATAAATACAGGGAAATAACGACAAAGGCCCCAGTTGGGCTATTTTGTAAAGCATGTGAGTTTTCTGGTCTCATTATAAAGGAAAGAAGAATTTTACCAAATGAATGATTAGAGATAAGCCACTTTAATAAGGCTGCTTAGCAGAAGGAAGATGATTAAAATTAGATAATCTTTCTTTAAATAGGTATTGCGTACCTGTTATTTGTTGGGCATTGTACTAAGCACTTGATGTACATAATTTCATTTAAGGTATTATTTATCCCCTTGTTATAGTGGAGCATCTGTTATTAAGTAATTAACATATAATCACATTAAACAAAACCGATGACCTCAGCCTGTCTCCAAAGTCTGTGCCTTTTTTTTTTTTTGAGACAGAGTTTCACTCTTGTTACCCAGGCTGGAGTGCAATGGCATGATCTCGGCTCACCGCAACCTCCTCCCCCTGGGTTCAGGCAATTCTCCTGCCTCAGCCTCCTGAGTAGCTGGGATTACAGGCACACGCCACCGTGCCCAGCTAATTTTTTGTAATTTTTAGTAGAGATGGGTTTCACCATGTTGACCAGGATGGTCTTGATCTCTTGACCTCATGATCCACCCGCCTCGGCCTCCCAAAGTGCTGGGATTACAGGCTTGAGCCACTGCGCCCGGCCTTTTTATTATTATTATTATTTTTAAAGATAGGGTTTCACCATGTTGGTCAGGCTGGTCTTGAACTCCCGACCTCAGGTGATCCGCCCGCCTTGGCCTCCAAAGTACTTGGATTACAGGCGTGAGCCACCACGCCCAGCCAGCCCGTGCCTTTTTTTAACAATGCCAGGCTGTACAATCTGGACTTGCACGATTAGCAGTAATACAAAAGACAGGGGGAAAGTGACCCTCTTCTCAAGAAGAGGTAGCTTTCCAGAACAGCTAGTTAGCTAGAATGTTTTCCCTGCTGTGAAATCTCCAAGGTGTCCTGAGGCAGGCAGCATGGTATATACAAAGAGCCCTAGCAGTGTCTTCCTTGAACCAGCCTTGTGACCGGACGTAGTCGGTTTAGTCACTTAGTATTCATTTTCTCACCTATGAAGTGGAAAGGGATAGAATGGTTGGGTCAGTGGCTTCAAGTTGCCCCATGCAGGCCTGGGCTATAGGAGATCATGCTTGGGAAAGAAGAGACAGACAGGACTTCTCTTATTCCCCTTCAAACAGAGAAGCTCTGTGTTTAGCTGCTTGAAGAGACGTTTCCCCTGCCTGGGGATGGGTGAAGGGTAGAGAGGACATTCGTAAGGAGAACACTAGGTTAGTGAATTTCAATGACCCTTCCAGTTTGATAGGTCTCAGGTCCTCTATTTTTGAGTTTGTGATGTTAAGAAGAAACAATGCCACCTCATTGCTTGCGTGCGTAATGAGCAGGAGAGTGGGTTTTCTGCCTGTGAAGGGAAGAAAAGCAGCTGAGAGGAGGAAGGACAGAAAGGTCTCTGCTGCAGCAAAAGGCTCAATAAAGGGGAAAAAAAGAACAGCCTCTGCTAGCAGAGCTCCAAGTCAGTAAACCTGCCTGAGGCTGCACACTGCCAGGCAGGAATGTGAACAACCAGATTAGACAGAGGAAACCAAGTGCCATTTGTTGCTAAAGGGAGGTTTTGTTCTCTCCCCTAGCCCCCAGACATGGGGAGAAATGCCAGATATAGTAGGCACCTAAAGTTAAATAAATAATTTTTTTTTAATAAATAAAGCTTTTAGAAAATGAAAAAAAAAAGAGAGAGAGAGAGAGAGGCTTTGTTGTCACAACAAAGTGGGAAGTTGGGCTCCAGGTCTCACCTCCCTAAATTGTACTTTCTTTTTACTCAATAGGGTGAAGTCTCTTGTTCTGTTTTAGTAGTTTAGGATTCAAGCAATTTTGTGTTTCTTTGTGTTTTTCAGATCTTAAATCCAAATTTCATCCAAGAAGGTGAGTTAAAAAGCATTAGAATTGGGAACATGGAAGTTGGTTAAATAAATTATAGTTAACCTAGCATTGAAGCAATGGTGATATAGTTGTGTATTAATGGACAAGGAAAGATGTTTATGATGGACTGTTAGCTGAAAAAGACTAAAACTTGCAATATGTGTGATGGGATCCAAGTTTTATAAGAAGTCTATTTGTATAAAGCCCAAAAGGATGTATACCAGAATGCTCACAGTAATTGTCTCTGAATTATGACATTATGGAGCTTTTCTTTTTGTCTGTATTTCCTAATTTTTCTACAATAAATAGTTATTACTTTTTAATACTTTTTAAAGAGACCCAGATGACTCTCCAGTGTTATGCTGAAGGTTATTAGAATCATTACGTGATATGGGTGGGAAATGAGAATGATGTGTTAAAAAATGGCTGTTTTGTTCTAAGTTTTCTCTGAATGATGTGAATGTACGTTGATTTGATTATAGTGGCCCCAGAATTCCTTGTGCCCTTGGTGGATGTGACCTGCTTGCTTGGGGACACAGTGATACTGCAGTGCAAAGTCTGTGGGCGGCCGAAGCCCACCATCACTTGGAAGGGTCCAGACCAGAACATCCTTGACACTGACAACAGCTCAGCCACATACACTGTCTCCTCTTGGTAAGCTGATTGCCCTAACACCAGCACCAGCAGCCCCTTAGCAGAGCACTGAGAGGCTGAATGTAGGATGCAGCTTCTGCTCTGGTGACTGGGCTCTGCAAGAGAAGAGCTGCCCTGGAGCCTGTTCTAGCTCAAACGCTTGGCCTTGGTTAGGAGAGAGACTGAGTTAAACATGAGAGGGGACTCAGTGCTGCAAGAGTCACAGCCTCTGCCACTCAGGCTGCAGCCTGATGGACACCTGCAGCAGCACCAGCACACATTTCCCATGGTGCTCAGCACCACATAGACATACCTGGGACCAGCAGAATGGTTTGCAAAGACTGCAATCTGGATCCTCATTAAACAAATAGGGAAAAACATAAATCTTTATATCTCAGGTCAAGCATGTGCCATGCTTGACCTGAAAACTTAGGAAGAGTTTTTATGGTCACTGCCTTACATTCATCCTGGTAGATGACCTTTCCCTACAGATCCCCAAGTAAATCTCTAAGTCAGAAGATTCAGACTTCTGATGAAGTGGTGAAGGCTCCAGACCTGCAGTAAAAATGTAGTCCTCAAATCTGCACATCCTGAAATTTTTTGTGCCCTTCAGGATGCTGTGAAACAATGAGATGTTTAATCCCTTGCCAAAGAACAATGTTATTAGAAAAAGAAACGACTCATTCCAAAATGCGCAATAGAAAATCAAGCCGCAGGTATGCTTCTACACAAAAAGTCCATTTAACAAAAGTTGGCTGACTGCCTCCCAGTCGTCCTGTCAACATTTATCGTTACTGATTATGAACTGGATTGTGTACTGTTGCTTACAATGGACAAGTGGTAGCAAGCCCTAGATGCTTAAGAAACATTAGTGGAAGAAGCCCTTAGAATCAAGAAACTTTCATTCATTGACTTAATTTGCATGTATGTGAAATAGAAAAAGACCATCATTCCTTGGGATTCCCAGCAGAGACCACCTGGCCAGTTCATAAAATACCAGTGGGTCCAAGAAGCCTAGTGTGAGAGGCAGTGGTTGGTGAGGATCATGAAGAGCTCCAGGGTATATCATAACCCTGGGGAAGGGGCATGGCTGACTGTGACTTCTGTGTCTCAGAGCAGTTCTCCCCTGGGGATGTTCCTGGAACTTATATTGGGATGAATGGGGAAATTACCATTTAGGTGATGGAATTTACCCTTTCTTAGAAATTCACCTGGTTATTTTGAGGATCTCACATATAGAATTTGAAATACTTTAAACATTTTTCTTCTTCTTTCCTTTTTTTGCCAATCATTCATTATCGATCTGTGAAACTGAAAATATTCTAGGACAAAGTTGCTAGTGATAATAATACTAATAATACTGTGAGCCAGAACTTGCATAAGACTTTATATATTTCAAACCATGTTCTAATTCTTATGTCATTTTATTTCTTATTCTATCCCTCATGTATAACAAACTTGAGAGATGGGTGTGGCCAGAAAATTTTTTCAATGGAAAGAACTGGCGATGTAGGGAGACAGGGTGATCACCAAGGTGTGTAGGTAGCTCACAGACTGGGGACTGAGCTCGCCACAAAACTCTGTGCTCAGCACACCATGTGCCAACCCTATGGGATTTTTACCCAGCAGTCAAGTGTCTCATCACTGGAGTTTAAAGAGCATCTTTTTGGTGTCCCTAGTGATTCTGGAGAAATCACCCTGAAGATCTGCAATCTGATGCCGCAAGATAGCGGGATTTATACCTGCATAGCGACAAATGACCACGGGACCACATCAACATCTGCAACAGTCAAAGTGCAAGGTAGTCAAACATTCCTAAATAATTTGTTTTGAGACGGGCTCTTGCTGTGGCTCAGGCATGGTCTCTGTTCACGGCAGCCTTGACTTCACAGGCTCAAGCAATCCTACTACCTCAGTCTCCGGATTAGCTAGGACCACAGGCATGCACCACCACGCCCCGCTAATTTTTTTTTTTTCATTTTTTGTAGAGATGGTATTTCACTGTGTTGCCTGTAATACCTTTTAAAACGTTTATTTTTTAATTGCAGTAAATCACACACAATAAAATTTATCATCATAACCATTTTCTAAAAATTCAAATAGAGATAGGTTCTCACTATGTTGCCCAAGCTGGTCTAATGTTCCAGGGCTAATGTGATCCTCCCACCTTGGCCTCCCAAAGTGCTGGAATTACAGGCATGATCGACTGTGCCCATTCCACCTTAACCATTTTAAAACATACAGTTCAAAAATATATAAGTAAGTGTATATAAATAAAATATATAAATAAGTGTGTAAATTAAGTTTGGTGGCATTAATTACATCCACATTTTGGGGTTACCATCACCACCATCCATCCACAGAACTTTTTTAATCTCCCATCTTTCTGAAACTGCATCTTCACCTGTTAAACAATGACTCCCCATTCCTTCCTCCCCAGTGCCTCTTGGCCACCACTGCTCTACTTTCTGCCTCTATCAATTTGTGTTAGTCAAACTTTTATTTTTCTTGAGACAGGGTCTTGCTCTGTTGCCCAGGCTGGAGTGCAATAGCATGGCACCTCTCACCGCAGCCTCCACCTCCCAGGCTCCAGCTATCCTCCCATCTCAGACTCCACCTCCCAGGCTCCAGCTATCCTCCCATCTCGGCCTCCACCTCCCAGGCTCCAGCTATCCTCCCATCTCAGCCTCCCAAGTAAATAGGACTACAGGCATGTACCACCATGCCCAGCTAATTTTTTAAACTTTTTGAAAAGATAGAGTCTCAAACACCTGTGCTCAAGAGATCCTCCTGCCTTGGCATCCCAAAGTGCTGGGATTACAGGTGTGAGCCACCACATCTGGCCCTACATTTTAAATGAACATTATAAGCATTCCCTGCAACCCAGGGGAGAAAATGTCCATTGTAAAAATTCAAAACTAAAATTCTGGCAAATGAGAAGAGAACGAATCTTTGCTAAGAGGTGTCTGTGGCCTACCATAAACCTCCCATCAACATGTTAATTTCCTGGCCAAGCATTATCTTCAGGGTATAGTACTTCAGGGTATAGCCCGAAGAAGATCCTCAGATAGCATGATGTGTCTCCTGGAGAAAGCTATGCCACTTGGTGGAGAAGGTCATAGGAAAAAATTGCAACATGGGTTAGGGAATGTTTCCTCGATGACCTTATACCTTGGTGTAAAATGCCTGGTTCTGCAGAAATAGCACCTGATCCTGACTTCTGTCTCCATAGGTGTTCCAGCAGCCCCTAACCGCCCCATTGCCCAGGAGAGAAGCTGCACCTCGGTGATTCTCCGCTGGCTGCCCCCCTCCAGCACAGGAAACTGCACTATTTCTGGTTACACTGTGGAGTACAGAGAGGAAGGTGCACTATCTTCTGCTCTTCTTTTTCTTTTCTTTTCCTTTATTTTTATGTATTTTTTTGAGCCAGGGTGTGGCTCTGTCAACCCAAGCTGGAGTGAAGTGGCACACTCCTGGGCTTAAGCCAACCTCCCACCTCAGCCTCCTGAGTAGCTGGGACTAAAGCGCACACCACCACACCCAGCTAATCTTTGTATTTTTAGTAGAGGCAGGGTCTCATTATGCTGCCCAGGCTGCTGTGAAACTCCTGAGCACAAACAGTTTACTCACCTCAGCCTCCAGAAGTGCTGGGATTACAGGAGTAAACACGCCCGGCCTCCTGCTCTTCTTTTTCTCTCTTCTCTTAATATCTAGGAGGTCCTTCAGAATTATAAACATATTAGCCTCTTCATGTTTCAGAAGTTGCTCCTTGCTGTGTCTTCCAACTCAGCACAGAGGCCTCAGTGTCAAACTACAGCTGCCTTCTGATCCCAGATGTTGAGCAGCTGTCTTGGCTAAGATGATACAAACCTCCCTGACATATTTATGACCCAGGGCAGCTTTCAAGGTGCCTGTATCCCTACTTAACACGCTCCATCACCCAGACAGGGATAATCAGGCCCATTTTACAGAAGAAGAGGCTAAGGCCTAAATAAAGTTAAGAAACAAAAGATTATAGTTAGTAAGAGACAGAGCTAGCACGAGAACGCAGATCTCTACTTTGCTAATTGTGGTCTTTCTCCCAGAGAAATAACTACTGTTGTATGGGCAGAGTTCTATACCCCCTAGCCCAGATAAAATTAAGATAATATATATTTTTAATTGTACAGTTTAAAATTGTGCAATTTAAATTGTTAAAATTTGTTACATTTACATGCTACAAGTGAATGTATTTCTTCAGCAGTTAGAAACAACTGCAGCTTCCATCTAGTTAGCAAGAATTAGTTAAAATAAGAAGCTGCCAGATAGCTTAACTGTTAACAACACAAGTACAATTATTCAGAATAATAACACAATTACTCTGAATCACATTATGAATTACACAACTGAACTGAAAGCAATTGCTTGCTACCCTATCCCCTGAACCAAAACATTTGTTTTATTCTACTTACCATGAGGCTTATTATTTTAATTCTTCTTTCTTCTTTTTTATTAAGCAGGCCCTATGCAGTTATAAACCCATTTATTTCCGCATCCTTAAGCTGTTCTCTCTTGTGTCTACCAGGACAGCACAAAGGTATTAATAGTGAGCTGGGAGACATATTTTACAGAGTTCATATTTACCTTAGCATTATCCAGTTCATAGTTCCACTCATTAACTAAGTTCTCTTGGGCAAATTGTTAAATATTTTTGAGGCTCAGTTTCTACATCTGTAAAATGAGATTAGCGCAGTCTACCTCACTGAGTTTCTATGGTTTTAAGAGAGAAAGTTAAATGAAAGAATTATGTTGAAGACATCTTCCACAGTATCGTACATGTACTTAGTGTTCAATACATGTTCATTTCCATTTTGTTTCCATTTCCAAATGCATATTTTCTCTCATTTTTTTTTATTAAAAATATACTCCCTGGCCTTATTAAAAGCTTACCATGTCTCCCCTGCAAATTCTGTATTATCTCTTTTCACTCTGGCACTTGCACATTTGAAAGTGGACAAAATCTATAGGCCAGCTTCTTCCACGCCTCTCACCATTTATTTCATCATTTAGGAACTTGAACCCAAACTGCCACGGTTGGCCCGCAGGCTTTCAGAGCCTGACACAGTGACCATAAGCGTCCCTTGAATTGAATGGGTCCATTTTTCTTTGTTTGCTGAAGGTCTTTGAAACAATGTCCCTTTGGCTTTTCTCTTTCCCTCTCCTGGGAAACCATGCACTAGGTTCTCAGATCTGGCAGCAGTCGGTGGCTTCGACCTTGGACACTTACCTCGTCATTGAAGACCTTAGTCCCGGGTGTCCTTATCAGTTCAGAGTCAGTGCCAGTAACCCCTGGGGAATCAGCCTTCCCAGCGAGCCCTCGGATTTTGTGAGACTTCCAGAATATGGTGAGTCCAAACCCAGCCCCGGTCCCCCAGGCAGTGGGGGCAAGGCACCTGGCTGCCTGTCACAGACTCACAGGCACGTTGACATGTCAGGCCACCATGCAAGAGGCACCTGGTGGCTTCAGTCACGCCACATTTTGGAGGCCTGATAAGAATGTTTCTGTAAAGTATAGCTCCAAGTGTCTTGGGCAAATGTTAGGTCTGCACCCATGCCTACCCCTGCATCTGCCAAGTTCCCCGGGGAATAAGAATGTCTCCAGGAATGGAGAGTTACAGGCAGGAGTCACGAGTCCCATGGATATTCTCTGCCCCTCTTCTGAGACAGTAATACAAAGCCTCCTCACACCCGGGCACCCCTGCCAGCCGTAAACATACCTCCCTGCATGAGGGACTTACCCACTTCAAATGGGGGAGAGAAAAGCAACCTGGATGAAGACTTCAGTACAACATGAGGATTTCATTGTTTCCTCACCCCCAATCATCCCAGAATTTCTTTTTTCAACATGGTTATACTTTTATGTAGATTTGTTGAAAAATCAACTAAGATACACATACAACTAGCTAAATAGGAGTATTTTACAAATACGGTTCTTATTTTGCCCAAATCATCTTCATCCTGGGACATTTTGAAAGAGAAAACTTGGCTATTCTAAAGAAATCTCCAAATGGTGAGATTTTGGGCAGTGCAAGGTAGTGGTCTGTGTGTGTTGGGAAGAGCAGTGGGCAGTGGACTACTCAGGAGATAATGGACCCATGTGTCTTAGGGTTAAGGGGATTGGGAAACCCTCTAAGTCACCTCTGCCCCCACCTGAATCCAGAAATGCTCTCCAGTTCCAGCCCTGCTGTCAGCCCAGTTTTCTCCCAGTGACACTGACTTTGTTCCCATGAGCCTGTGACTCATGCAGAAACCTAGGCCCTGGGTCTCTGTTTCCTCAGAATTCAATATGGATAAGCCACCTTCAGTCTCAGCCAGGCTGTGCTCTGAGAAACCTGAGGGAACTGGCTCCAGGGTCAGCTGAGCCAAGCTGTGACCTCTCTCCTCCCAGGCTGCAAACTTGCTCCAGCCCCAGATGATGCTGTGTGTTTTGCTATTTGCGAACGTTGGTCCCCAACAGACAACACAAATGTGTATTGATATGCATGCTTTGTGTGCGTGTGTATGTGTATGTATGTGTGTGTGTGAATCATTGCCAAGGAATTGACACATCATACAAGGTAATACTGCCAAAGAATCTACTCAGGCATGTATTGTGGGTTTAGTTAAATCCTTCAATATACCAGATAAGCACATTAATGCCTATTAATGCCTGAGAAGAGTGGGTTAAGAAGGAGAATTTTTTTTCTTCTCTGTTTTGTTTTTTTTTTTTTTTTGAGACAGGGTCTGACTCTGTCTCCCAGGTTAGAGTACAATGGTGCAATCATAGCTCACTGCAACCTCGACCTCCTGGGCTCAAGCGATCCTCCCACCTCAGCCTCCTAAGTAGCTGGGACTACAGGTGTACACCACCACACCTGACTAATTTTTTATTTTTTGTAGAGACAGGCTCTTTCTGTGTGGCATAGGCTAGAAAGAGAAATTTCTAGAATATCTTTTCCTTTTCTCCTTTCTTGACCATATAACTCGTCCCTTCTTCTCTCTCTGCATCCTTTTTACATCCCTGATTTTCACCGGCTTTTCTAGGCCTTCAAAGTGTTTTTTCCCCCCTTTAACTTTTTCTCCCAAATTTCTATTTAAAAATATCCAAAAGTCGCATTTCTGATTGTCCTGAGTTTTCTCTTTAGATAGGAGAGAGAGGCTGACTCTGTCATGTCAGTTTCCCCTTGAATGATTTTTAATAACATTCCAGGGAATCATGGCATTTTCCCACTGAGTTAGACTCCATATTTGGTCATGAGAATTGCTTTGGGGTTATTCTGGAGCTTTCCTGTTAATCTCGTCTTTATTCTTATGTGTCATCCTTGATATTGTAAATGGATTCTCTCTCTTCCAAAGATGCTGCTGCTGATGGCGCCACCATTTCTTGGAAGGAAAATTTTGACTCAGCTTACACGGAGCTGAATGAAATTGGAAGGTAATGACGCGGTTTTCTATTCCTTCATTCATGAACCCCTAGCAACATCACAAAAGGATAATAGCTTGTTGTTGTCACTTGTTTGTTTCTTTTACAAATGCAATTCTCTCCATAGAGAGAAAATAACTAAAATATTTATTTGTATTTTCTACTCTTCTCTAACTTCTTAAATTGGATGCTTCAGATGCTTCATTCATCAATTCTCAGTCTTTCTTTTCTTTTCTTTCTTTCTTTTTTTTTTTTTTTTTTTTTTTGAGATAGAATCTTGCTTGGTTGCCAGGCTAGAGTGCAGTAGCGCAATCTCAGCTCACTGCAACCTCCGCCTCCCGGGTTCAAGCGATTCCCCTATCTCAGCCTCCCAAGTAGTTGGGACTACAGGTGCATGCCACCATACCCGGCTAGTTTTTTGTATTTTAGTAGAGACAGGGTTTCACCATGTTGGCCAGGATGGTCTCGATCTCCTGACCTCGTGATCCACCCACCTCGGCCTCCCAAAATTACAGGCGTGACCACCATGCCTGGCCCCTTCTTTTCTAATATAAGGATTTAAGGCCCAACATTTTCTTCAAAGTACAGTTTTAGCTATAGGTCCCAAATTTTGACATGCGCTATTTTCCTTAGTCAGTTATATGTAATTTTCTTCAACTATGAATTTTCTTTGACCTCGTTATAATGGAAACATGTTTTAATATATATGAAATTTTTTAATATGAGTTTTTAAAGTATCTTTTTATTACTGATATCTAACTTAATTTCCATTGTAGTCAGAATCTAGATGGTACTAATTGCTTGGTTTGTGTTCAGACTTGCTTTATGTACATGGTTAATTTTTGTAAAAACTTCCATATGTTCCTGAGAAGACTGTATAATCACTAATTGTTGGGTATAGATCTCTATACTGCCCATGTAGCAAGCACATTAATTATTTTATGAGTATTTCTAATCCCAGTCCACCCCCTGCTACACATATACACATACATACCTATCTCTTTGTCTTTTCAGTATTTTGGTTAGAGAACATTTAGTATGTCCTCAAAAATAAAACAGATAAAAATACGACTTTTAACAGAAAAATTAAATCTATTTTCTGGTCCACACAATAGTTGATGGGAAAGAAACAAAAGAGGTCCATCCCTGAGCATGCTTTGGTCTCCAGGTGGTCTGGGTGAGGGAACATGGGTAGTCCACTTGAAAGATCATCCACCCTATAAGAGAACACCCACTAGCAATGGGCCATGGGCATCATCTCTATCTCTGATTGGCATCTCTCAGGGAAGCATAACACTTCTTAAGTGGGGAGGTTGTGACGGAAGTTGTAGAGGAAGCCAAAATGGTCCTTACTTCTGTGTCTTAGGGCAGGAGTCACAATGTCATTCACTGCCTTTCGTTACAGCACCTTTCATCAAAAACAAACTCTACCACTCCTTGCCTGCCTTCTTTGTGTAGCCAGACAGAAGAAAAAAGCCAAGGAAAGTTATGTGATGATGATAATGATGATCTCAGTATCTATAGTATTCCAGATACTAAGCAGATACTATATACAAGTGTTATTTTTGTTTATTTGTTTGAGCTCTACTGCTTAATACACCAATATTATTTAATTTAATCTATACAACACTGTAAGATACTGTTTGCACAGATTTTTCTTTCTTTAAAAAAAAATATACAGAGAGACAGGGTATTATTGTGTTCCCCGGGCTAGCCTTGAACTCCTGGACTCTAGCAATCTTCCACCTACCTCAGCCCCACAAAGTGCTGGGATTACAGGCCTGAGCCACTGAACCCAGCTGAGTTTATTGTCTTTTCTTTTTTTCTTTTTTTGAGATAGGGTCTGTCTCTGTTGCTAGAGCTGGAATGCAGTGGCAGTATCATAGCTCACTCCACTCTCAATCTCCTGAGCTCAAGCCATCCTCCCACTTCAGCCTTCCAAGTATCCAGGACTACAGGTGCACACCACCACACCTGGAAAACTTTTAAAACAATTTTTATTGTTTTGCAGAGATGGGGTTTGCACTATGTTGTCCAGGCAGGTCTCAAACTCCTGAGCTCAACAATCCTCCCACCTCAGTCTCCTAAAGTGTGGGATTACAGGCATGAGCCACCTATCTCACCTGGTCTGAAGTATATTTTCAGTAAAGGAAACTCAGGCTCAGGGAGGTTAAGTAACTTTCTCAAGGCCGCACAACTAGGAGGCGTGGAGCCAGGATTAAAATTCTGGGCTACCCAACTCCAAGCCTGGGCTTGTTTTACTAGCGTATGTTGTTTCTCATCATGTCGATTATTGTCCAAAATAAGCTCTAGTAACTGAAATCTCGTTTGCTCTATTATATTGAAATTGGTGAAGCTCAACATGATCCCCAATAATGGGCTAATTAAATCCTCAGCTGGTTCTAAATGAAATTTTTCCATCACCTGGATGCCTCAGTTAATTCCTCCGGGAGACATGTGTTTGCTATTATTAGCCATAGGTTAGGGCAGGTTTTAGCTAAAACAGATGGATGATTTGATGTTTCTTTCTTTCTTTTTTTTTTTTTGAGACGGCGTTTCGCTCTTGTTACCCAGGCTGGAGTGCAATGGCGCGATCTCGGCTCACCACAACCTCCGCCTCCTGGGTTCAGGCAATTCTCCTGCCTCAGCCTCCTGAGTAGCTGGGATTACAGGCACGCGCCACCATGCCCGGCTAATTTTTTGTATTTTTAGTAGAGACGGGGTTTCACCATGTTGACCAGGATGGTCTCGATCTCTTGACCTCGTGATCCACCCGCCTCAGCCTCCCAAAGTGTTGGGATTACAGGTGTGAGCCACCGCGCCCAGCAATGTGATGTTTCTTAAAGGGAAGATCAATTTTCTTATCTGTTGAAAAGTAATGAATGTTTTTGCTTTAAAGCATCTAACAGCCTGAAGCTTTTCCTTTCTCCTAAGAATAGTCCTCATATTTTCAGAAGATCCTTGGAAATAATACATGTAAATTCTTCTTCTTCTTTTTTTCTTTGAGACAGGGACTCTGTTGCCCAGGCTGGCGTGCAGTGGCACAATCACTGCTCACTGCAGCCTTAACCTTCCGGGCTCAAGTGATCCTCCCACCTCAGCCTCCCAAGTAGCTGGGACCACAGGCATGAACCATCACAGCCAGCTAATTTTTGCATTTTTTGTAGATATGGGGTTTCACCATGTTGCCCAGGATAACCTCAAGCTCCTGAGCTCAATCAATCCACCTGCCTTGGCCTCCCAAAGTGCTGGGATTACAGGCGTGAGCCACCGCATCTGGCTGAAATAATACATGGAGATGTTAACTTGAGACACAGGAAAGATATCTGTGCCAGGGCCCTGGAAGTGAACCAACCTTCTTCATCAAACTTAAACCTGGAATTCTGGGCGTATGTGACTATTCTGTTAAAAGGGGCTCTCTGGTAATTAATATGTTGTAAAAAACCACAGTGCAGGAAGGAATACGTTCTCTCCTACAGCACATCCACAGAAGAAGAGGTCACTTGTGTATGGCGTGATAACCAGGAATGGACTAAAAGGGCAACAATGCAGTATAAAGAAGGCAGGGGATTGTCACTGGAAATGATGACCCCATTGCCTGTACCTGTTGCTATACAGAAAGGTAGCAGTACCAGGCCTCCAGGTAAGATGGCAGGTTGAACACAAGCATCCATTTTCACTTCCTTCTAAAATTCATTGAAATTACAATGAAGGATTTTTTTAAAGTAGGCATATAAGAAAGAGGACATTGGAAGAAAAGACAAAAATAAAGTATTACATGCAAATAAACAGATGGAAGAGTGATAAATGACCTTGAAGACCTGAGTCAATCAGTCATGAGGTCAAAGGGTCCCAGTGTAATTTTTGTAGCAGAATTACCCAAAGGCTCAGGTATTAGGAGCATCAAGTACCTCTGGAACTAGGTGGAATGAGGATGCTAAAATTGAAAGGATTGGCTAAATTTTTTTTTTTTGAGAAGCTGTGTCTCAGAAGGGAGTGAAAACTGATGATTGCTCAGCCTGGCATCCTTACCTGGAGGCCTGGTGCTGCTACATTTTTAGATTGTATACCGGCAACCGGTCAGCATTCCCAAGGGATAAGCTGACTCCAGATTTGCTCCCCAGCTTCAAGTATCTGTGTAATTGTCTTTGTTCATCCAAGAAAAAACTGGATCGACCTTCCCTCCCTCCCTCCCTTCCTCCTTCCCTCCTTTCTTCCTTCCCTCCTTTCTTCCTTCCTCCCTCCCTCGCTTCTTTCCTTCCTTCTCTTCTTCCTTCCTCCCTTTTTTTCTTTCCTTTTTTCTCTTTTATCTCCCCAGCTTTGATGCAAGTGTGAGCCAAATCAAAGAGCTGTGCAGCATGCACAAAGAGCAAAAACTCCAAGAAAAACCCACATTTCTGTCCAAAGGACAAAGAAAAGTGGACCCTTTGAGCTGGAGAGAACAGAGGAATTCCTGCTTTGTTTGTTTTTTTTTCTCTCTGTCTCCTTACTGTCACTGCCTCACCCTGAGGGCAGTCCTGTGAGATGGGATGACAGTGCAGGAAACTAAACGTCGAGGGAATCCCATCTTTCTGGCCAGACAACTTTAAAAAGGGGCCCGTGGGAGGTAAAGAATGTGGGAGAAATTTCAGGAGAAAGCAAAAGATTATCTCCTAATTCTATATGAAATGACTCAAATCCTGGGCCACCTTCCAGCTGTGCATGTATAAGGCACATTGAAATATTGCAAGGCTCTGAGAACTGGACTACCATGTAAATCACTGCTCAGTTTAGTCTCAGACTAATCTTCATGTGGTGCTCACGAGGGGGCAGACCTAAAAGCCTAGTAAACACTTTGAAAACTGAGCTGACAATAGCACCACCTCCCACAGAAGGTGAGACAGAACTTGCAGTCTGAACCTAACCAAGTTGAATGCCTACCAAAACATACAAATGAACCCAAACTCAACCTTCTCCAGAAGACTTTAGCAAAATCAGAGTCTCACAGCGTAACATTCAAAATGTTCAGGATACAATCTAAAATTGCTAAACATTGCAAAAAGCAGAAAAATCTTTAAAAATTCTCAGGAAGGCTGGGCGCTTGGCTCACACCTGTAATCCCAGCGCTTTGGGAAGCCGAGGCGGGAGGATCACGAGGTCAGAAGTTCAAAACCAGCCTGACATTAACAGTTAACATTACCAATAACAATAGAAGTTAGAAGGCAACAGAATAATTCCTTCAAAATCATGAATGAAAAATTTTCCCAACTGGATTATACTCAGCTAAACTCACAATCAAGGATAAAGGTAGGATAAGTACAGATTTTCAGATATGCAAGTCTCAAACAATTTATTCCCCATGCACTCTTTGTCAGAAATGATTGAAGACAGCATTCTATCACACAAAGGAAAAGTATCCATGGTTTCCTAGAGGCTCAACTGTGAATAGCATGGACATAGTGCCGTAATGTAGACACTGAACGTTGATTATAATTCTATTAGGAAGACAGTGGATGGGGATAGTGGTTATGTGGCAGGGACAGAGGGAGGAAGGAGGCTAACCTTTCATCTTCCATAGTGGGATGTCAACAGAAATAACTAAAACTGAAAAATCAAGAGGTAGCTGCTCAAAGCATACTAATGAGAGTCATAGAAGTAAGTATTTCAATCATCTGCTAAACTATATTAAATTGATGTATTATACTGCCTCTCAGGCAGGGCACAATGTCTCACACCTGTAATCCCAGCACTTTGGGAGGCCAAGATGGGTGGATGCTTTGAGCTCAGGAGTTCAAGACCTGGGCAATATGGCAAAATCACGTCTCCACAAAAAAAGTACAAAAAATTAGACAGATGTGGTGGTGCACGCCTGTAGTCCCAGCTACTCAGGAGGTTGAGGTTGGAGGATCACTTGAGCTTGGGAGGCAGAGATTGCAGTTAGCCAAGATCACCCTCCTGCACTCAAGCTTGGGTGACAGAATGAGACTCTAGGAAAGGGAAAATGGAGGCGAATTTTTTTTTAATAATGAACCCATAACGATAATTGTCTTTTTAGACCATGGGGCTTCATAACTTTGACAATTACAAAACTTTTTCTAAAAATTAAGCTACCAGTACCTTGACACAGCCACTAAATTCAGGAGAGCTAGCCTCAGCATTCAGTTGTTTTCATCGCTACATTTCACTCCTCTGCAAGAAGTGACTTCAATAATCAAACTCACAAAGAGAGTCCTGTTAAAAACCAGATGGCAATTTATTAATTTATGATGTGAAACAAAACTGCCAGCTTGAACAAATATTTGTTTACTGTGCCAAGAATATTTGGAAAATGATAGATAATAAATAATTGTCTAAGACTTGTTTTACTGATTAATACATTCTTTTTTTAAAAAAATGTTTTTAAGAGAAAGGATCTCACTATGTTGTCCAGGCTGGTCTCAAATTCCTGGGCTCAAGCGATCCTACAGTCTCAGCCTCATAAAGCATTGGGATGACAAGCATGAGCCACTGCACCTGGCCTCCTTAGCACATTATTTTATTTTATTCAAATATACGATGGGAAAAGAAGTATACTTAGAAAGTTGCTTGTAGAGCACAGAGCCAGGTCAAGGAGGATGATCTTCATGGTAGCCATGACACACCCATTTCTGTTGGCGGAATGGGCTGGTCTTCAGACTGTTCCCTCCTCTGCTTGCAGGTTAGGACACCTCATGGGCAGGACTTGGATGGCACTGCCTTGTCACCTCATTGACCCTCCCTTCATCTGCCCCATTGCTGACCTGTGCCCCTACAGAGCTCTCTTGCCACCTTCCACAGGGCAACAGCTGCATCTGAGAACCATTCCATTTCAGGAGTGGGTAATTTTGTCAGATGTACTAATGGCAGGGTGGTTATATATTTTTAAGTGTTCTTGTCGCTAGGGATGTAAACTGAAGTATTTATGGGTGAAATGACATTTTATCTGGATTTGCTTAAACTACTCCAGGAAAAAAAAAAGCAGGGGATAGAAAAGAGATAGGTGAAACAAAATCGATTAAAATGTTCGTGATTATTGAAGCTGGGTGCATAGGAGATCAATTTTGCTATTTTCTTTACTTTTGTGTATATTAGAAATTTTCCATAATAAAAATATAACAAACATAAAATGAAACAATTGACTCTTTAAAAATGTTTTTAATGGGAGAGCTAAGCTGATGAGGACACAAAGACATAAGAATGATACAATGGACTTTGGGGACTTGGGGGAAAGGGTGGGAGGGGGTGAGAGATAAAAGACTATGTATTGGGTACAGTGCACACTCCTAGGTGTGAACGCACCAAAATCTCAGAAATCACCTTTAAAGAACACCACCTGTTCCCCAGAAAAGTATTGAAATTTTAAAAAATCCAATTTGCAATGGCTCTACAGTCTTTGATCTTTTCATCGTGTCAGGGCCCCATAAAGAGATAGCATTTGTGCTAGACCTTGAAGGAAGTAGAACTGGCATGTATGAGAAGGAGAAAAATAATAATAAAAATGTGTTTAAAATTATTATTGAGTAGAATTCCTCCTTCTTTAACATTATTGCTGTTTCTCTTTTGTATTTCACAGAAATATATGTTCTGCCTAGAAAACTGAACTGCTGTTGATGATTAAAACGGCAGAGAAAAATATTAGTTAAAAAAATTACATTAGGCCAGGTGTGGTGGCTCAGGCCTGTAATCCAAGCACTTTGGAGGCCAAGGCGGGCGGATCACCTGAGGTTGGGAGTTCAAGACCAGCCTGACCAACATGGTGAAACCCCGTCTTTAAAAAAATTTTTTTTAATTTAAAAAATTACATTAGTTACATCAGGCATAGTGACTTACACCTGTAATCCCAGCGCTTTGGGAGGCCAAGGCAAGAGGCTTGAGCCTGGAAAGTTGAGGCTGCAGTGAGCCGTGATTACATCACTGCACTCTAACTAGCCTGGGTGACAGAGCAAGACCCTGCCTCTAAAAAGAAGACTTATGTTATATATAAAAATGTAATTTATAATACAATTATATTATATATAATATAAAATATTAGTTTTTCACATCTCAAAACCCTAAAATGCTAAAGAAGGAAAAACGGATTTTCTGAATAACATTATAACTAAAAATATAGGAGAGTAAGATTCCTAATAAAATCTGTCTGACCACTTCACACAAAACTTTACACATCCGTGAATAAAATATTTCTAGTTAATTGACGAGTGCTGGCAAACTCTCCCTTTTGTTTTTCCAGAGGCCGTTTCTCTATAGTAAAGAAATGCATCCACAAAGCTACCCGCAAAGATGTGGCCGTGAAATTTGTTAGCAAAAAAATGAAGAAGAAAGAACAGGCTGCCCACGAGGCTGCCCTGCTTCAGCACCTACAGCACCCCCAGTACATCACTCTCCATGACACCTATGAGTCCCCCACATCCTACATCCTGATTTTGGAACTGTAAGTACAGATGCCCCCTCTCTTAAGTGGCCCTCATCCATTTAGGTTATTTCTTGCCCACAGTTAATGGAAAAGATAGTTACGTTTTATACAAGGTCCTATCATTGCAAAGTGCTGATGTAACATGCACTCTCTCCCCCATTTTATAATCAATGTCATTTCCATTTCAAAGATTAAAAAATCATAATAGGGATAAGGGAGGTCCTTAAAACTAGCTCCTTAAGAATAGGAATGGAGAAGCTAGGACTTGAACCCCTATCTCTCTTACTTCCATTTTTAGCTTCTTTTATTATGGACTCTTGGGCTGGGCAGGAGTTTGGGAAGAGCTTGTTGACAGTAGGCTGGTTGACAGGGTGGAGTTGAAATGAAAGAGAGGGCTCTATGTGTCAATTGACCACCATAGCATCTCCAGTCTACCACCTGTAATGCCAGCTACTCGGGAGGCTGAGGCAGGAGAACTGCTTGAACCTAGGAGGTGGAGGTTGCAGTGAGCCAAAATCACACCGCTACACTCCAGCCTGAGCAATAGAGTGAGACTGTCTCAAAAAAAAAAAAAAGGTCAGGGGGAAGATATAGTTTTTGCCCTCAAAGAGTTACAAGTTTAATGAGGAAGACCAATAGATACATGGATGATTTTAACATAACATGAAAAATACTAAGAAAGAAATGAATATGGCTGGGCGAGGTGACTCCACCTGTAATCCCAGCACTTTGGGAGGCTGAGGCAGGTGGATCACGAGGTCAAGAGATCAAGACCATCCTGGCCAACATGGTGAAACCACGTCTTTACTAAAAATACAAAAATTAGCTAGGCGTAGTGGCACACACCTGTGATCCCAGATGAGCCAGGAGAATCGCTTGAACCTGGGAGGCGGAGCTTGCAGTGAGCCAAGATAGGCAAGACTCTGTCCAAAAAAAAAAAAAGAGAGAGAGAGAGAAAGAGAGACAGAGAAAGGAAGAAGGAAGGAAGGAAGGAAGGAAGGAAGGAAGGAAGGAAGGAAGGAAGGAAGGAAGGAAGGAAGGAAGGAAGGAAGGAAGGAAGGAAAAAAGAAAGGCAGGCAGGCAGGCAGGCACTGGAGACGGTTGCTGTGAGAACGTAGGTACCTGGTTGGACTTGAAGCTCAGGGAAAGTTTGTGATTGTGGAGAGGCAGTGCCTGAGCTAACCCCTGTGCTGCATCTCATTATGCTGTTACGTTATGCTTATTTGGCACATACTTATGCTGACAATTATGTGACTGTGGCCTCCCCTTAGGTGGCCACCAGAATTGCTGGGAGAGCTTTTCTTTACCAGGTAACTGAGATTCGGATTCCCTAGTCTAGGATGGGATGTGGGCATCTGCCTTATCCAAACTCTCTAAAGGTGAATTTGGTGGCTAAGATTCTCTCTCTCACTTGGAGTAGTGCTGCTGTTAATTGCTCCCTTAATCACTCCAGGAAGTTCAGGGAAACACATTTAACAAGCCCAGTCCTACTCCACTCTACTCTGATCACTCTTACCTCACCCCTAGCAGGTCAGAGGAAAGCAAAGGAGGCTTGCATGGGTCCTAGCCTTTGCTCCTGTCAAGGAAAGCAGAAGACACCAGTGAAAAGGAGCACGGTAGAGGGGAAAAGGGAAACTTGGCCAGGAGGATTTCAGCTGCAACTGAAAGTCATTTCTGACCCTGGATCAGGCTGCTCTGCATGGGCATTTTCTGGGATGTGCCTTTAACAGCTCAATGCACACTGAAGAATAACTGCCCGACTCCTTGCTGTAAGAGGACAGAGGGTGCCTGAGAATAGCGATCATTTATTTAGCACTTACCTGTGCTACCAATTATGCTTAAATGCTTCATCATCTCCCTCCATCCTTGCACAATCCTCATAATGAAGTAGGTGAATAGTAATATTCACCCACTATAAGAAAATATTAATGCATTATATTAATATAATGAATAATAACGATTATTTTGTTGCTTTTTTTTTTTTTTTTTTTGAGACAGAGTTTCGCTCTTGTTACCCAGGCTGGAGGGCAATGGCGTGATCTCGACTCACCTCAACCTCCGCCGCCTGGGTTCAGGCAATTTCCTGCCTCAGCCTCCTGAGTAGCTGGGATTACAGGCACGCGCCACCGTGCCCAGCTAATTTTTTGTATTTTTTAGTAGAGACGGGGTTTCACCATGTTGACCAGGATGGTCTCGATCTCTTGACCTCGTGATCCACCCTCCTCGGCCTCCCAAAGTGCTAGGATTACAGGCTTCAGCCACTGCGCCCGGCTGTTGCTATTCTTATACCCACTTTAAAGATGGTTCACTTTGACTTTGGGAGGCCGAGGCGGATGGATCACGAGGTCAAGAGATCGAGACCATCCTGGTCAACATGGTGAAACCCCGTCTCTACTAAAAAATACAAAAAATTAGCTGGGCATGGTGGCACGTGCCTGTAATCCCGGCTACTCAGGAGGCTGAGGCAGGAGAATTGCCTGAATCCAGGAGGCGGAGGTTGCGGTGAGCCGAGATGGCGCCATTGCACTCCAGCCTGGGTAACAAGAGCGAAACTCCATCTCAAAAAAAAAAAAAAAAGATGGTTCACTTTGGTGAAACCAAGACAGAGTGCAATGACTTGCTCTTAGGCTTCAGCAGGTAGGTAGCAGAACCAGGATTCAAATCTGGGTCTGGATGGCTCCATATACCATGTTCTCAATCACAGTCCTCAAGGTTGGAATAGTTGCCCAGAAGGCAAAAGATTCAAAAAAAAGATCAAGGGCCAGGCACACCTGTAATCCCAGCACTTTGGGAGGCGAAGATGAGTGGATCACTTGAGGCCGGGAGTTCAAGACCAGCCTGGCCAACACGGCAAAACTCTGTCTCTACTAAAAATACAAAAATTAGCTGAGTGTGATGGCACACACCTGTAATCTCAGCTACTTGGGAGGCTGAGACATGAGAATTGCTTAAACCCGGGAGGTGGAGTTTGCAGTGAGCACAGATCATGCTACCACACTCCAGCCTGGGTAACAAAACAAAGAAAGACTATGTCTCAAAAATAAACAAACAAAAAAAGTTGGAGGGGGGATCAATAATGCAAAAAACAAACTTTGGCTACTTACTGTTTTCCCCAACTAAAAATTGACAAATGAAAATAGTTTGGCTAGGTGCAGTGGCCTCCTCCGGAAATCCCAGCTATATGAGGGGCTGAAGCAAGAGGATCACTTGAGCCCAGGATTTCGAGGCTGCAGTGAGCTATGATTGTGCCACAGCATTCCAGCCTGGGTGACACAGCAAGACCTCATTTCTAAAATTAATAATAAAATAAAATTAGGACATACTTTGCAAAACACATGTGGGGCTACTTGCGACCACTAGGTTATGGTTAATGAGAATTTTGCTGAAGTCTCTCTTGGTGAAGGCTTTCTTTACTTAGCAATCTAACCTCTTAAATGGGTGTCACAACTTTTTTGTTGTGAGCAATTTTTAGAGTTAATGAAAGAGAATGTTTCTTAAACAAGATTATACAGGTTTCTTCCCTGCAGTACACCAAATATATTATATTTGCTTTAGTTCTGAACATGACACTAACTTTGGACTCTAACTAAAATGTGCATGTGTTGTGCATTTGGTCTTCATGTGTAACAAGGAGTGTGAGAGAGCTTAGAGATCTTAACTGATTTTTACATGAGTTATTTTCTATTTCTTCACTTCAAACATATTTCCTTTGCCTTTCCCTGCCTACTTTCAGGATGGATGATGGCCGGCTGTTAGACTACCTTATGAATCATGATGAACTGATGGAGGAAAAAGTAGCTTTCTATATCCGAGACATCATGGAGGCGCTGCAGTACCTTCACAACTGCAGGGTTGCACATTTGGACATAAAGGTAATGAGAAGTGGGAAACTTGAAAGGAAAACCTTAAATGGTCAAGTCCAACTTCCCAGTCATCACTCACAAGGAATATAAATTCAAATTCATTTTTTATTTACTTAGAGTACAACATTATGATTTTATTTTTTTTGAGACAGAGCCCTACTCTGTCACCCAGGCTAGAGTGCAGTGGCACGATCTCAGCTCACTGCAACCTCTGCCTCCCGGGTTCAAGCAATTCTCCTGCCTCAGCCTCCCAGGTAGGTGGGATTACAGGCACTCACCATCACACCCAGCTAATTTTTGTATTTTTAGTAGAGACAGGGTTTCATCATGTTGGCCAGGCTGGTCTTGAACTCCTAGCCTCAAGTCATCTGTCTGCCTCAGCCTCCCAAAGTGCTGGGATTACAGGAGTGAGCTGCCACGCTCATCCCATTATGGCTATTAAAGAGAATCTGGGTTGTCACACAATTTAAATGTATCATCCATGAATTAATTAGAATATAGCAGAGCCACAATGGCATCCAGTGTGAGAGAAGGTAGGGAAGTTCTACCTACCTAACCTAACTTCATAGCAGTAAGCCAACAAATGTCACCTTGTCTTCCATGCTGCTAAAAAAGAAGCCCTTGTTCTCCAAAATGAGTAATTTATTATTTCCTTGATTCAATGCAGAAGCAGCATAGTTAAGAAGACATGACTTTCAATGTCCAACAACGTCTCTGAAGTACCACCACACTCAATATGCACTAAGTTCTAAGTTCAGTATGATAGTTTGAAGTCTCCAATGTACTTCGGATAGTGCATGGAGAATTTTCCATACACTGTAGGCTTTGTCAAAGAGTAGCAATAACCGTGTTTGAATTCATGAGGGGGTCTGAGTAGTCAAAACAGAGGTCTGAACTTCCCTTCTCTTCTCCCTGCCTTCTTGGATCTCCGCAGCCTGAAAACCTGCTCATTGACCTACGGATTCCAGTGCCTCGAGTGAAGCTCATTGACTTGGAGGATGCTGTCCAGATCTCGGGTCACTTCCACATTCACCACCTGCTGGGGAACCCTGAGTTTGCTGCCCCAGAAGTCATCCAAGGCATCCCTGTCTCCCTGGGGACAGACATCTGGAGCATCGGGGTTCTGACATATGTCATGCTGAGTGGGGTCTCCCCCTTCTTGGATGAGAGCAAAGAGGAGACATGTATCAACGTATGCAGGGTGGATTTCAGCTTTCCCCATGAATACTTCTGTGGTGTGAGCAATGCTGCCAGAGATTTCATCAATGTGATCTTACAGGAAGACTTTCGGAGGCGGCCCACAGCAGCCACGTGCCTACAGCATCCATGGCTGCAGCCCCATAATGGCAGCTACTCTAAGATCCCCCTGGACACCTCCCGCCTAGCATGCTTCATAGAACGCCGCAAGCACCAGAATGATGTACGGCCTATACCCAATGTCAAGAGCTACATTGTCAACCGGGTGAACCAAGGGACGTAGCTATCCCCCAGCCCCTGTGGTTTCACATAGAAGTGCAGTGTGAACCAAAGCAAGACTGAATGTGACTGTAAATAATTCTGTTCGTCATTTCACTCCGTGCAGTTCTCTGAATTGAGAGATGTACCTCTTAAACCTCGATAATAGTTATTCAGGGTCTGAGCAGCAGTAAAAGTCACCCTCAATCCAGGAGCTTTCCAGAAAGTTGTTCTGAAGAAATAAAGAGGCAAAGGGTCACAGAAGTGTTCAGAAGAAGGGCAAGGATAAGAACAATATTAGCTGTTATGAAATTGTAACTGTATCTTCCAAAATGAGTGGTTAACTGGGCAAATCTTAAGCTCACAAGAGTGTAAAATGTCTCTGGCTTTGCTGAAAGTTTAAGCAAAAAGTTCTATTTAATGGAGATGTCATGTATATCACCTATTCTGGGTTAGATAACTTAGATATAGTTTCTTAATAGGATACATATACACATACAGTATAATACATCCCATTCAGGTTTCAGAGTTTTCTAATATAAAGAGATATATATTAAATCAATCACAAGTAACCGAGTGCTCCAGTTAAGACATTAATTTAATTACCGAAGCATTACATTGTTTTGACTAAGCACAATGAGATGACAAGTTTTTTAGAGCATTTTATAAATCTTGTATAGAAATCTTTTACCAGAACCTGTGCATTAAGAGAAAGCAATGTTGCCCTTTTGAATGAGAAGATTTTCTTCTGTCAACCACAGGTTTTTTGATTAAGATAGGTTCTTTCTGTGTATGAAACACTACCTGCAAATTCACTGGTAGCTCAGAGTTAATCTGGCAAGAAAGCCAGAAATAAGTTCTGGCTTTCTTGTATATTTGAACTTACCAGGAAATGAGTTCAAATACAGTATGAGCTGCGGGAGTATTTTTGTGTCTACACCGGGTTTGAAATAAGTAAACGAATATGAAAGATCCATACAAAAGGGCAAATGGAAACCTTTCCTATGGTTCCTGTGAACAGCATACCAATACTTTCTGATTTCTTCTACGGCTGTAGAATACAGTCTTTCAGAAAGTTGGCTGGCTTTATTTCTAACTCCTTATTGAAGCTAAGGGGTGCTTACTAAAAGGAGGCAGCCATATAGGCCTTCTAAAGGCCTGGCCCTAAGTCCTTTCTAAAGCCATGGAACAAAACCTGATACATCACCCTAACGGAACATTAGGTTGTAACTGAGATTGCAATACCTGTCACCACTCAGCCACTGACAGTTCTCTGAACTAAAAGGACTAATTTTACTTTGAGGCCAATGCTGCTTTCTGGTATATATTCTTCATACAAGATTACTATTAACTGCTCTTTTTCCCTCTGGTGGGAAAAAAATTAAACCTGGGCATTTCATGGGTTTTCTTTCTTTATTTTTGTTTGTTTGCGGGGGAGGGAGTTTGTTTTTTTGTGTTTGTACATGATCCATCCTTAGTTTTCTAGAATGTGTGTTGAAATTGCTATTATACAAGTAAGATTTTAAAAATGTAACTCAAGTGTTTGTTCAAATCAGGTTTAATGGCATTGCTTTGCTCCTATAAAGGGATAGAGAAAATTAAAATCTCACAGTACCGAAGTTCAAGAAGGGAACTTACGAAGGACAAACAGAACTACAAATCTAAATGAAAAAGAAATGGTGGAAACTAAGCCTGAACTTTAACATATAAAGAAAACACTTATTCCCACAGTGGAAATGTAAAATTGAAAATCATCATTTATTTTCTTATTGGTTTCAAAGTCAGCTTCCTCATCCCATCAAGATTATAGATTGATACCTTAGTGGAAAGTATAAGCAATAAGACTAGATAGCACTTAGTATTTTGGGGATTAACCAAATATATGGAAACCGACTCCGACTGTATCCGACTATATTTGTTTTCTAGTTTTCGAATGGCCCTGGGTCATTAAGCCTCACTCCCTCAGAGGTCTCTCTTGACTATCCCCTGTGGTCTTCATTTGAACCTTTATGTATGTACAAACACTCTATGATATAATACATAAACATTTAAAACATACTTACTAAAAAATCCTTTTAGTAAACATGTTTACTGAAATTTTTAAAATTTAAAACATATTTAGTAAATTTTTTTAGTAAATGTTTTCATTATGCTTAAAAATTTTAAAACATCTTTATTAAAAATCCTTTTAGTAAACATGTTTACTAAAACCCTTTCAGTAAACATGTCTTCATTCTGGTATACACATAAAGGAGGAAAGCCCAGCCCGTAGGATTTGTCTGGGACAGACTGCAGGCTCTGAGGATTCCCAACATCCATAAAGTCTGTCTTGGCAAGTTCTCTTCTGTCCACTGTGGATGACCTGAATCAAGATCCCCCTGCTGAGTCAGTCTGAGTTTTTATAACAAGCCGAGTTTCTTCTTGAGAAGGCCAGGGCCCAGGACAGTGATGCACAGACCCTGATGGGTGTGGGGGGAAGGGGGGGTTGTTGAAATTACGTTATGGGGACAGTTGACAGAACGTTAGACAGAACCCAAGCTTTCTTCAGCTTTTACAACAGCGTTGGGAGGATCCAAATGTGGGGTTGCATGGAATTCCCCCAAGTACACATACTGGGGAAGTGAGAAGACAGGAAAGGAGGGACCTAGAAATGAAGTAGAGTGATTTTGTGGCCAAGGTACAATCATTAGACTAGAATGAACTTAATAGAGGTCCCAAGAGAAAGGGTGTATATTTTGTATAGTTTGATAACAGAGGGAAACTAACAGGGAGGCTCCCTGTCTGCAAAGCTCTTGGTCCCTCCCAACAGGGATAAGAGAGTAGTCTTGGTTCAAGAGTTCTCCAGAGCAAGTTGGAAACAACAAGGAATTCCAGACGATGGGCTTGGGAAATGTAATTTAAGTTGTTCTGAGGGCAACCATGGTTAGGGAAGAAGGATCAGGGACCACTCTTGTTCCTGTTTTGGCAGAGAGATTTAGTAGTAAAGAAGAGAGGAGAGAAGAGAAAATAGTCCACTTCTATCATAATGATGGTGGTTCACAGTGAGACTGAACTCCCACCTGAAACGAGAAAAACAAACAAAGGTCAAGGTCACAAGTTTCTTGCTTGGCTTATATTCATTGCATAGGGTTCTGAGGTTTTTGTTTTGTTTTATAAGGGTGGGACACAGAAAGAATGAAAAGATCAGGGACAACCCATAATAACTTTTAAGAAGTATTAATATAATGATTTTCTACATCTTTTGCATTTGGTTCAAATTAAATAGATATATATCCAAGTATAGCTGAATGTGGTAACATTTTTAAGAAAACAAATGGTAATGGTGGAGATGTCCTTCAGGCCTCTCTCAGCCATAAACAGTGTAAGGGGGAGTAGAGGAAGCAGAGGAGAACGCTAGCTTCACAGCTTTGTGATCCACAAAGCCTTTATAAATAGTAGTGCCTTTCAGAGGGGAGGATAGGAGATAAAGATGTTCATTGCATTTAGATTTACTGATATTGCAGCATTTTTTCTTTATTTTAAAATGTCTTGTAAATGCAAACATCTGAATATAGGGGTGGAACCAGGAATTTCTGAGCTTCAATTTCAGCTATTCCTGATTCATCCTTTCTTACAGAAAGTCTTTGTTTTTTCTTCCCCAAATGTCCCCATTGGTAAAATGGGAAATGGGGGATGGGGACGGAGGACATTAATCTTACAGGAATGTTGAGAAATAACCTTGGTTGGGACATCTATAAAATACTTTGATTTTTTAGAGTGCTACACACTGCCAGTGCTGAGAATTTTACTGATAGTAACTTTGAACATTCCAGGTTTTTAATACTCACCTCTTTAGATACCACGTATAAACTCCTGAGATTACATTCTGCAAATTGCTTTCAGATTAAATTCTATAAATTGCTTTCAGTTGGAAGTATTAGGTGCTCTTTGTCTAAATGTTATTTGGTCTTAGCCTATAATTTCGATCATTTAAGAGCTTGTCTACCGAAAAGAGTTAGGAGGGCTGATGAAGTCTTATGTCCATAAGCCGTTTTCTCCAGTATTTTTTATGGCAAGTGCAAAGAGTAAAATGCCCTCAAAAGCAGCTGCTACCTTCTCTTCTCAAGCTTTATGCTCTGGAAAAACAGAGAAGAACCCGACAACCATTTTCCTCACTGTGGGGAAAAGTAAGAAGAAAACATCTTCTCATATCACAATTTATTTTTTACACTCTCACAGGAATCTATTATAAGAGGCAAATTAAAGGCACAGGCAAGTTAAATGCATAGAAATGAATTGGACTGTCATTTTTGGAGGACAAACCTTGAATCTTTTTTTTATGGTGGCTTAGTCTTTCAGGAGTTGCATATTTGCTGTCCCATAACCCCCATGATTGTTAGATCCCATGAGTTAGGCATTACTTTTTTCTTGCCTCTGTAGAAGAGCATGGCAATTTAGATTTGTGAGAATATGAGGAAGTAAATATAATATAAACTAAATTTTAGTTATTTCTGTGCATTAACTAAAACTTTGCCTTGTGCATTTAATAGAGGAGGAAATATTTTGTAAATAAGAGGTCTTTGTAGGGGGCAAAGTTCAAACTCACCATGTCCTTATTCAGTGTGGACAATGAATTGTGCTGGATGAGTTTTGAGGAATGTAGACCTTCCTTTCTCTCCTGGGTTGCACCTCTGTGGAGTCTGGGTTAGATAAACACAGTATGTGACCTTTCCATGGATTTATTTATAAAACTGCACCTTGATTTTTCTTCACTATTTAAAGTCTAGGGATGATTTGAGGATGAACGATTAAACCCAGGGTGAGCCTACAGAAGACAGAGCTCACACATGTTTCATCCAGAAAAGGAAAGCTACTATGTTAATATTTATTTTCTAAAAATAGTAAGACTCTCAGTCGTTTCATTAATTCTAAAGGGTTAAAAAGGGCTGAAATTTGTTTATAGCAGTAAATGTTTTTAATAGGAAATATTACTCACATAAAAAAATTGATACAGAAGTAGTAGAACACAGAATTCTCATAAGAACATATTTTCTATGAAAGGCATTTTTTCCTCATCTTCAATAAATATAAAGAAGTTAGAGGAGAGGAAAAAGCAGTCACTCCTAGGCAACTTTTCATCTTTGAGGGACATTATGAAAAGCCTGAAATTAATGCGCACAGGCTATTGCATTTTCTGTGAGAAATGTGCCCATTTGCTGTGAGATTCTAAAGTGTGTTCAGATTTAGGTTTTACTCAAATGATCGAGATAACAGTTTAGCTAGATAACTGCTATTTCAGATAGTGAGGTTAGCTGAGAAAAGGAAGCATGGTAGAAGAAATGCAAATAACAATTCTTGGAATGTCAGCCCCTGAGGCTTAGTTTAACCAAGCTAATCTGTTGGCCCAGGGATAGCCAGCACAGGAGCTTCCATCAATATCTGACTTCCATCAAGAATTGAGTCCACGTTCCGGAGTATTATGGAGACTGTTACTATGACCTCAAAGACTGTCTCTAGGAATCTGAAATTAACAAAACATACATCTTCTCTTACTAACTTAAGCCATATCTGTCATCTCTATGTTTGATTTCTCTGACCCTGGTGCTTTTACTTCTGTTTCTGCCAAACTTCAGCCTACTCTATGGGGAAGGTGAGTAAAACTAATAGAACAAAGAAGAAGACTGTGAAGAAAACTAACCATACTCTTCAGAATGAGATCCTGTTCAGAGAACAGTAGTGGTCAAAGTGCAAACTGTTGGAAAATACGGATATATGTACATCTGTACATGTAGATAGTGTATAATATGTATGTATATGTTATTGCTCATATGCAGAAATCTATCCATTTGTAGACAGCCCAGGTGGGTCAATTTTTCTATTGGAAAACCATTTAGGGCCATTCAAAACCATGAGGGCTAATTTGTGGAGACAAACTCCACTCATTTGGGAATTAATTTGCCGTCTTTTGATGTCCACAAAGCCAAGCTAACAAAGTGTGAAACATAAAGGGGCCATCAGTTAGGTTATTCTGTTTATCTGGACTTTATCATTATAATTGAACTATCAATAGTCAATTTGCAAACTGTATTGGCATCTCTTGGTTTTGAGTGACCCCTGCCCCCAAGTCTTTTGAGAATTTGGAGTGGGCTTCACTGGCCATTCAGACAAAGGGCCTTATTCATAAGTGGACAGGTTTCCCCATAGGGACCATCACACATATACATATAAGTATATACTTCCACCAGGCTTGTAACAATTGATTTAAAATCACTCCACAGTATTGATAAATAGCTCTATATTTTCAAGGTGCAGAAGAATTCCACAGCCTTAATTATTTCAGTGTCTTGCTGGTCTGCCTTAAGTGTATCTTCTGGATTTTTGGTTGTTTTATTATTTTTTAAATTTTTCTGCTGTTGTTCATTTTGTATGCACACAATGTCGTTTTGTAAAGGTAGGTTGTAAATAGTTTATTTGTAAGTCAAAACCACTCATGTGTAATGTTGTAAGGTGACGACCTGCTGTCTTGTTTCTGCTACAGTAAATGTTATAAGTTATGGATGAAACTTCAAAATGTACATCTCACATGTTATGCATTCCTATAAATATACTATACTGAAGATACTATATGGTCGTCCTTTTTTTTCTAATTAAACCTTTCTTCAAAGAAAAGAGTAATTTTTTTCTTTCTTTCTCCAAATATATGAAAGACTTTGAAAAGGTAAAAAATATCACATAATTATTACAACACTCACTTTTGGCCCAGGATTTTAGAAAAAAAGCAGCGGAGTATTCTAAGCCATTTACCCAAAAATGCCAAGGAAACCTCAGGGCCAGGTGCTATGGCTAGCACTTGTAAATCCCAACACTTTGAGAGGCCGAGGAGGAAGGATCTTGAGCCCAGGAGTTCGACATCAGCCTGGCCAACGTAGGGAGACACCCACCTCCCCCAAATACCCCACATACTAAAAAATTGTTTAAAAAATTAGCTGAGTGTGTTGGTGCACACCTGTGGTCCCATCTTGGGAGGCTGAGGTGGAAGGATCATCTGAGCCCAGGAGGTAGATGCTAAAATGAGCTGTGATTATGCCATTTCACTCCAGCCCAGGCATCAAAGTGAGACCCTATCTTAAAAAAAAAAAAAAAAAAAAAAAAAAAAAAAGCCTCAGGTGGCTGTTTCAGGTGCTAATACTGTTAGAATGTTTGGAGGATATTTTGGGCTGGTTCTCACAGGTTTATACATTCTGGTGTGGACTCCAGCAATCTAGGTTAGCCTATGCAGACATGATCAGGCTTTAAAAGTTTAAATGTGCCACCCAAGTGTAAATAAGGCTGATTGATGGTATACTGTCAATTAGCCAGTCTGTTAAAGTGTTTTGATTAGCTTACTTTGCCAAAAAAGTCAAAAATGTTTTAACATTTGGCTTCTATTTCATCAAGATTTTATTGCATTTATTTGTAATGAGAAACACTTGTCAAAAGCATGGGTTCTTCACAGTGGTTCATCAGCACAATCTCCTTAGAGAAAATATAGATAATATGGCTGGGTGCGGTGGCTCACACCTGTAATCTCAGCACTTTGGGAGGCCAAGGTGGGCAGATCGCCTGACGTCAGGAGTTCAAGACTAGGGCCAACATGGCTGAAGATGAAACTTCATCTTTAAAAAAAAAAGAGAAAATATAGATAATAAAGAATATTAGAAATGAAATCAGAATCAGGTTGATGAATTAGAATCATAAGCCCCTTATGGGCTTTTTTAGATCTAGAATTTGTATATATTTTAGCATCTATGTAGCTTAAACGCTCATTTGTAATTATTACTCCATTTAATCCCAACAAATTCTTATGAAGTAACATTTCATTTGGAGTAGAGAAACTGAGTCACAGGATCTAGGTGATTGTTCAAGGTCACGAAGACATTCACTGGAAAGTAACATTTTTTGTTGAGACAGGGTCTTACTCTGTCACTCAGACTGGATTGCAGTGGCACAATCACAGCTCACTGTATGTAGCCTCAACCTCCCAGGTTCAAGTCATCCTCCTCCCTTAGCCTCCCCAGTAGCTGGGACCACAAGTGTGTGCCATACTGTCTGGCTAATTTTTTAATTTTTTTGAAGAAACAGAGTCTCACCATGTTGCCCAGGCTGGCCTCAAACTCCTGGGCTCAAGATATCTGTCTCTGTGTCCCAAAGTGCTGGGATTACCGGAATGAGCCACTGCACCCGGCCCTAGAAGATAACTTAAACTAATGTCTATTTGTGTGTTTCACTGTGCCTGTGTCTGTACAGTGTGGGCCAAACAATAATAAATGATTAAATAACAGTACTTCAGCCTGTATTTTTTCGACGGGGAGTGGTTGAGAGGAATGACCAATTCAGTTATGGAATATTAGCAAAAGCCCCAATACAAATGATAATCTGAACCCCCAAGCTCTGTCTAAAATAGATATCAGAGTAGAATATACAAGGGATTCAGTGAGCGGTATAAAGCTAAGTCCATGGAAAGGCTCTAGACTGAACTATTGCATGAAGTTTTATATTAAAGGAAACTCTTTAGGATAAATACCTAAACCTGTAAGACTAAATATTGGTTAGAGTCAAGATCCTTTACTCGGCCTAAGTAAATGAAATGGAGAATACAAAATGAATTGGTATAATCTATGTTCCACTAGTTGTTTTTTTTTTTTTTTTTTTTTTTTTTAGAAAGAGTCTCACTCTGTTGTCCAGGCTGGAGTGCAGTGGTTCGATCTTGGCTCACTGCAACCTCCACCCCCCCCGCCCGGGGTTCAAGAGATTCTCCTGCTTCAGCCTCCCAAGTAGCTGGATCTAAAGGCATGTGCCACCATGCCTGGCTAATTTTTGTGTTTTTCGGTAGAGACAGGGTTTCACCACATTGGCCAGGCTGGTCTCAAACTCCTGATCTCAGATGATCCTCCTGCCTCAGCCTCCCAAAGTGCTGAGATTACAGGCATGAGCCACCATGCTTAGCCACCTACCCAAAGTACTGAGATTAACAGGCATGAGCCACCATGCTTAGCCACCTACTAACTTTTTATAAAGTGTGTGTGTGTGTGTTTTAAGAGACGGGGTTTCACCATGTTGGTCAGGCTGGTCTTGAACTTCTGACCTTGTGATCTGCCCATCTCGGCCTCCCAAAGTGCTGGGATTACAGGTGTGAACCACCATGCCTGGCCCTATACAGTGTTTTTGAGTGAACTATCTCACTGAATCTTCATAGTGATCTTTGAAGAAAGTTAATATTATCTTAATGCTATTTTTGAGAAAATTGAGACTCATATATCTCAAAATGCATTGCCAAAGATCACTCAGCCAGTAAGTAGAGCTGAGACTAGAACCCAAATATTTTGGTTTGGAAACTTCATGTTCTTTGCAGTGCACAATATTGCTATGCCTTATCTGTTCCTCTTTTCTTAAAAAAGTATTATAGTTGACACATGATCACTGTACACATTTATTGGGTACATAGTTCTATTTCAATACACACAATGTACAGTGATCAAATCAGAGTAATTCATATATTTCTCACCTTAAACATTTATCATTCCTTTGTGTTGGGGACATTCAAAATCCCCTCTTCTAGCTATTTGAAAATATAGAGTAAATTATTGTTGACTACAGTCACCATACAGTGCTATAGAACACTAGGACCTATCTTTTCTATGTAGCTGTAATTTGTATCCTTTAACCACCCTCTACCCTTCCCAACCTCTAGTAATTACTATTCTACTCTCTACCTCCATCAGATCAACTCTTTTAGCTTCTGCATATAAGCGACAACATTTGTTGTTTATCTTTCTTGATTTTCTGTTCTTGGCTTATTTCACATAATATCCTTCAGGTTCATCCACCTTGCTGTGAATGACAAGATTTCATTCTTTATGTGAATTTAAGGGTCATTTTCCGTAAACTAGAATAAAGTATTGCCTTATATACACAATGGAGAACTTCTCTAAGGGATTTATTTGTAAAGACCAAATATATTTGGATTTTCAGACTGTCTAGCAATATTACTCTCCTGGATAACCCTGATACCAATCAATTCATGGTTTCTAACTCTTCTCCCTCCCTCCCTTACCTTTCTACACCTATTACCTAAGCATTTGAGATATGCCAAACCAGGAAGCAGAGTACAGACAAAAGAGATAACGAATACTGTAATGATCTAGGTGCTATATATTCCTATGAGCAAACTGCTATGAAACTTTCACAAAATAGATGCTATGAAGTTAATAAAAGAATTGAGTCAAGGTCCCTGTCTTTGAGAACTTGTATTCTATTTAGAGAAACATGGGGGTTAAATCGTGGCTAATAACTAGCAAATTATAACATGCTAGGCCAAGGAGTAGAGATAATTAAGAAAACTAGTCGAGAATGCACTGGCTGTTAGAAAACGAGCAGAATTTATGCAAACTCTCATGAAGGTTGGACTTAATGATACTACAGTCAAACCAGATGTTCGAGGCGTTGAAACCCAGCGACCCCATCCAGAAGAAAGCAGGAGAAGCACAAATTGGCGGTAGATTGGCTACCACCCGCCGACCCTTGAGCCCGGGGAAACGCAGAAGTGACTGCAGCAAGCCCGGGAAGCTGCCGGCGAGGCAAGCGGAAGAGGCGGGGCTTCGCGGGCGACGTCATCGGGGCGCCGGGCGCCCGGTGCGCCTGGGAATTCGAAGCAAACAGGCAGCGCCCGGCAATGGCGGCCGCTGGTGTAGCTTTGGGGCCCTTGGTGACTGGTCTGTACGACGTGCAGGCTTTCAAGTTTGGGGACTTCGTGCTGAAGAGCGGGCTCTCCTCCCCCATCTACATCGATCTGCGGGGCATCGTGTCTCGACCGCGTCTTCTGAGTCAGGTGCTTGCCCAGGAAGGGGAAAGACTGGGCTGGGTGGCGGGAAAGAAGACCAGGAAATGTAAGAGGGTGACAGGAATTGGGCCGTGAGTGGGAGCAAAAGAGCCAAGCAGGCAGGCCGAGCTACTCTTGGTCTGGGGAGTAAGCATGAGAAGCACAGAGGCCAGGGGTTGTTGGGCTCTTAGAGAGCCGTCTGTACTTTCACCCACAGGCTTACTGCACGTGTTTTGCAAAAGTCGGGAAACCCAGTTTGGAACCCTGTCTGGCACTGAAGCACACTTGGATGAATTCTGTGTTTTTAACTCTAACAAATTAGACTTGCGGCTGGTCGTGGTGTCTCACGACTGTAATCCCAACACTTTGGGAGGCCTAAGTGGGTGGGTCACCTGAGCCCCAGGGGTTCGAGATCAGCCTGGGCAACATGGCGAGACCGCGCCCCCCCCTACAAAAAATTTAGTTGGGCGTGGTGGCGCACGCCTGGGACGCTGAGGTGAGAAGATCACCCGAGCCTGGGAGGTCAAGGCTGCAGTTAGCCGTTGTTGTGCCACTGTACTCCAGCCTGGGCGACATTGAGACCCTGTCTCAAAAAACAAACAAGCATATAGACCGGAAAAATGTGGGTGGGCAGAGACTTCAGTAGCTGGAAAAATACTTGTAAGAAAAGAAAAATAGAACAATCCGAGCCATGTGATGTATGCAGAATTTATCAGAACCCAGAGAGACTTCAGCCATACTCCTTCATGCAACCCTGGTGACAATTATTTAAAGGAATTTTGTCCCTGACTAGCTGCCTCCCCTATTATATTCATGTACCTGGAATTTGTGATACAAAGAATAATGTATAGCTGATCAGTTGCTTGTGTTATTGTTTTATTTTTGAGATGAGGTGTCTCTTACATCACCGAGTCCTGGAGTGCAGCCCTGTGATCATAGTTCACTGCAGTCTGGAACTCCTGGGCTTCAGAGATCCTCCTGCTTCAGGCAAGCGTGGTAGCTCATGCCTGTAAAACCAACACTTTGGGAGGCTGAGACGGGCAGGTCATTTGAGGTCTGGAGTTCGAGACCAGCCTGACCAACATGGTGAAATCCTGCCTCTACTAAAAATGCAAAAATCAGCCAGGCATGGTGGTGCACACCTTTACTATAATCCCAGCTACTCAGGAGGCTGAGGCAGGAGAATCGCTTGAATCCAGAAGGTGGAGGTTGTGGTTAGCTGAGATCCAGCCACTGCACTCCAGCCTGGGCAACAGAAGGAGACTGTCTCAAAAAACAAAAAGAGATCCTCTTGACTCAACCTCTGAGTGGCTGGGACTACAGGTGTGTGCCATCATGCCCACCTAATTTAAAATTTTTTTTGTAGAGAGGAGGTCTCACTATATTGCCCAGGCTGGTGTTGAACTCCTGGCCTCAAATGATCCTCTGGCCTTGATGGCCTCCCAAGTAGCTGGGACTACAAATGCCTAGTGGCACTTCAGTTATTTCAGTGCAAATTATTGGTGAACATAGGAACTGCCTCTTCTTTTGCTTTAAAAGTCCACTTGTAACTACTGTAATCAAAGCCTATAGTCAGGGCAACTTAATTTTTTTTTTAATTGTACTTTGGCCTCTGGGGTACATGTGCATATCCTGCATCCTGCAGGATTGTTGCATAGGTACATACATATGCCTCCCCATCCTCCCACTCCCCCCAATGTCCCTCCCTTCCCCTCCACCTCCCCCAACTAGCCCAGTGAGTGTTGTTCTCTTCCCTGTGCCTAAATGTTCTCATTGTTTATCACCTGCCTATGAGTGAAAACATGCAGTGTTTGGTTTTTCTGTTCTTGTGTCAGTTTGCTGAGATGATGGTTTCTAGATTCATCCATGTCTCTACAAAGGGCACAAACTCGTTTTTTATGGCTGCATAGTATTTCATGGTGTATATGTGCCACATTTTCTTTGTCCAGTCTATCATTGATGGGCATTTGGGTTGGTTCCAGGTCTTTGCTGTCATAAACAGTGCCACAACGAACATATGTGTGCATGTGTCTTTATAATAGAACGATTTATAATCCTTTGGGTATATACTCAGTAATGGGATTGCTGGGTCAAATGGAATTTCTATGTCTAGGTCCTTGAGGAATCGCCACACTGTCTTCCACAATGGTTGAACTAATTTACACTCCCACCAGCAGTGTAAAAGTGTTCCTATTTCTCCACATCCTCCCCAGCATCTGTTGTCTCCAGATTTTTTCTTTTTTTCCTTTTTCTTCTTTTCCTTTTTTTTTCATTGTTTTAATTATTTTTATTTACAGAAAACAGCATACATTTAACCCAGTTTCATGGCAAGCTCTTTAGCCTTTGCCTTTTTGAGCTTGGCGATGCGAGCCGCAGACTTGGGAACCAGGACGTTGCCTCCCCAGTGACAGCAGATCTCATCATATCTGTCATTGTAATTGGTCTGGATAGCTTCTACCAGCTTAGCCGAAGCACCTTTGTCTTCCACGTTAACCTGTGTGAAGGCGACAGTGGTGCAGGTCTTCCTGTGGACTAGACATCCCAGTCTTGCCTTCCCCTTGATAATGCAATAAGGGACTCCCATTTTACGACATAGGGCAGGCAAGAAGACAACCAGCTCAATGGGATCCATGTCGTGTGCAGTCACCACCAGATGAGCTTTCTTGTTCTCCACCAAGGTGGTGACGGTGTTAACTCCTGCTCGAAGGACAGGTGGTCTCTTAGTGGGGATGTCCCCTTTGCCAGCCGCTTTCTTCTCGGCCCGGGCCAACAGCCTCTGCTTCTTCTCTTGCTTTGTCTGTGATCTATACTTGTGGGCCAGCTTAAGCAGCTGAGTAGTTGTTTGGTGGTCCAGAGCCTGGGTGAACTGGTTAATTGCAGGAGGCACTTTCAGCCGCTTATAGAGGATGGGCTCTCTGCTACTGCAACCTGATATAGCGGGGCCATTTCACAAAGCAGGTGAGGTCTCTTTTGGGCTGGATGTCCTGTCCAATGCCAAAATTCTTAGGCCTTTTTTCAAACAGGTGATTCACCACTTTCTTAGCCTCCTGCTTCTTCACGACAGCAGGGGCCGGAGCCACCTTCTTCCCCTTGGCCTTCTTTCCTTTTGGCATCTTGGGTAGCAGAAAGAGCGTCTCCAGATTTTTTAATGATTGCCATTCTAACTGGCGTGAGGTGGTAGTTATCTCAATGTGGTTTTGATTTGCAATGCTCTAATGACCAGTGATGATGAGCATTTTTTCATATGCTTTTTGGCCGCATATATGTCTTCTTTTGAAAAGGATCTGTTCATATCCTTCGCCTACTTTTGAATGGGTTTGTTTTTTTCTTGTAAATCTGCTTTAGTTCTTTGTAGAGTCTGGATATCAGCCCTTTGTCAGTTAGGTAGATTGCAAAAATTTTTTCCCATTCTCTTTTTTTTTTTTTTTTTGAGATGGAGTTCTGCTGTTGTTACCCAGACTGGAGTGCAATGGCATGTTCTCAGCTCACTGCAACCTCCGCCTCCTGGATTCAAGCAATTCTCCTGCCTCAGCCTCCCATGTAGCTGAGACTACAGGTGCATACCACCATGCCCAGCTAATTTTTGTATTTTTAGTAGAGACAGGGTTTCACCTTGTTGACCAGGATGGTCTTGATCTCTTGACCTCATGATCCACCCGCCTCGGCCTCCCAAAGTGCTGGGATTATAGGCGTGAGCCACTGCGCCCGGCCAATTTTTTCCCATTCTCTTGGTTGCCGGTTCACTCTAATGATTGTTTCTTTTGCTGTGCAGAAGCTCTTAAGTTTAATTAGATCCCATTTGTCAATTTTGGCTTTCATTGCCACTGCTTTTGATGTTTAGTCATGAAGTCCTTGCCTGTGCCTATGTCCTGAATGGTGTGGCATAGGTTTTCTTCTAGGGTTTTTATGGTGTTAGTTCTTATGTTTAAATCTTTAATCCATCTGGAGTTAATTTTTGTATAAGGTGTAAGGAAGGGGTCCAGTTTCAGCTTCCTCCATATGGCTAGCCAGTTTTCCCAACACCATTTATTAAACAGGGAATCCTTTCCCCATTGCTTGTTTTTGTCTGGTTTGTCAAAGATCAGATGGTTGTAGATGTGTGGCATTGTTTCTGAGGCCTCTGTTCTGTTCCATTGGTCTATATCTCTGTTTTGGTACCAGTACCATGCTGTTTCATTACTGTAGCCTTGTAGTATAATTTGAAGTCAGTTAGTGTGATGTCTCCAGCTTTGTTCTTTTTGCTTAGGATTGTCTTGGCTATGTGGGCTCTCTTTTGGTTCCATATGAAGTTTAAAGTGTTTTTTTCCAGTTCTGTGAAGAACGTCAATGGTAGCTTGATGGGGATAGCATTGAGTCTATAAATTACCTTGGGCAGTATGGCCATTTTCACAATATTGAGTCTTCCTAACCATGAGCATGGAATGCTTTTCCATATGTTTGTGTCCTCTCTTATTTCCTTGAGTAGTGGTGTGTAGTTCTCCTTGAAGAGTTCCTTTACATCCTTTGTTAGTTGTATTCCTAGGTGTTTTATTCTCCTTGTAGCAATTGTAAATGGGAGTTCACTCATGATTTGGTTCTCTGTTTGTCTGTTGTTGGTGTGTAGGAATGCTTGTGATTTCTGTACATTGATTTTGTTTCCTGAGACTTTGCTGAAGTTGCTTATTACCTTAAGGAGGTTTGGGCTGAGACGATGGGGTCTTCTAAATACATGATTATGTCATCTGCAAATAGGGACAATTTGACTTCTTCTTTTCCTAAATTGAATGCCCTTTATTTCTTTTTCTTACCTAATTGCTCTGGCTAGAAATTCCAATACTATATTGAATAGGAGTGGTGAGAGAGGGCATCCTTGTCTAGTGCCAGTTTTTAAAGGGAGTGCTTCTAGTTTTTGCCCATTCAGTATAATATTGGCTGTGGGTTTGTCATGAATAGCTTTTATTATTTTGAGATACATTTCATCGAAACCTAGTTTATTGAGAGTTTTTAGCATAAAGCGCTCTTGAGTTTTG